TTTTTTTTTTTTTTTTTTTTTTGATTTTAAAAACTTGACTCGTATTAACAGGGGAATCGAAACTGGAGATTTTTTCCTTTCTTCTTTTGCAAATTAAAAACTCATTTTACAATCGTTCCACAATTCTAGAGTCAGATTGGCGAATGATTTAGGATAAAATGACTTATGACTGGCTGATCGAAGGTGGTCGTCCTTCTGATAGTAATACTTTTTAAAAATTTTAGAAAAGAAAATTTCATCCTTTAATTTGTTCTTTGTGCTTCGCGATGAAGTTTTGAAAGCGATACTCACTTTTTCTCGCGCTTCCCCGCCCCCGTGTCCCGAAATCCTTTCGCGAACGGGTTGTTGTCGATCTTCAGCTGGGTGATCTGCAACAAAAGGAAATTACGATGTACATACGAGCCCGCGTCATTTCGTTAATGAGATATCGACATTTGCGGATAATGCAAAACTGGGAAATGATTAATTGAATACGCTGTCAGTCAGTGTCAGATAAAGGCCTCATTAACAAACATCCCGCGAGAAGATCATTTCAACCGCGTTGCCACACGTCCCTATGTACCATTTGCTTAAATAAATGAGAGCGTAAAACGACAATAAAATAAAATTTGAAAATCTGAAAAAATATCTTTGTATCTCGAATAATTTTACATTTCTATCTGTATGATAAATAAATCGCAAAATGTAGAGGAGAAATTTTTATTCTATTAAATGTTCATCAGCATCTCTTCTCTATAATAAATTTCTATAATAAATTAATTAGTAATTATAATAAATTAGTACTTTGTCTCAATATTATTTATCACTGGCTTTATTCTACAAGAAAAGGGAGCTATCAAAGAAGGGTATTGTCCATTATCTTTCACATTTCAATATTAAGTGTGTTCGACAACTTACGAATATAATCTTTTCCCTTCGTTTCTTCATTTCAATGTCATTTCTCGTTCATCTTTCAGTTTCTTTCGTAACAAATAAACTCTAAATAATTCAACAAATACAATCTTCACTTCGTCGTTTCGATAGTAATACTCAAATTTGCATGCCTTTATCTCAACATTACACACGCAATCCTCCCTTTTTATCTCCAATAATTGCTGATAAACTACACTGGCCGTTTCAACACCTATTGTTCCGTCTTCCCTTCGCCGTAAAGCATTCCCAGAATTCTTTTTCAATAATCAAATCCCGCAACGATCGGCTCTGTCAAGTTACGGAGAATCGACGATCCCGCGAAACAACCGGCCGAGAGATCAAGCCCTCTCGGCTTCGAGAAATTCAGAAGGGCCGTGTAGACTCGAAAAGATGCACTGAGGCGATATCTCTCTTCCGGCAACGCCAGATACCGGGAAACACGGGCCGATAACGAGCGAGGAAAGAATCGCGCGACGAAAACCACGGACAACGGGGCCCCTTTTGCGTTCGCGTGAACGCCCCCGCCACGAGAATAACGCGTACCAGGAAGTACGCAGCTTCCGGGAACCCTCTCGCCATCGTACGCGCCAATGGCCATTTTAATTAACCGGATCGGGCACGAAAAAGATTGTCCATCGATTCAGATTTCTCCTCTTTAATTTCTCAACTTTCCTGAAATTTGGAACTTTTAATTCCTGCTTTTCTAACATTGTTCTCGAAACTTCTCATTTTCCTAACATCATCATCACGTACGTTTTAACTTTACTAAAATTTGGAACTTTCGATTTTTCTGATACTTATTTTTTTTTAACACCGAAGTGGAAAGATTTATTTATTGTTGGTATCAAAGCTGAGAGATATATTTTTTTTTTATTACTGAGCGAATTGCTTTACACTTGAAGGTTCTCTCTTTGATATTTCCTTTGGAAATTCGAGTTTTTAATTCCTTCTTCTTCATTTGGAAAGCCTATTTACGAATTTTTAATAGTTATTTTTCAAATCTATACCTTTCGCTTTTATTTTTAAGGATTTCTCTGCCATCTGAAAAATTCCACTTTCCAATTCCGTTTTCTATTGTACTTCGTACCATTATATGATCATGTTCATTGATAAAAAAACGAGTCTATCAAAATTTATAATTTACTATTACTACGAAGGATGTTTATGCTTTCTAGATAATCCGATGATTACAAACTGAACTGTCGAAAAGTCGATAAAGACGAAAAAGCGTGAAGTAATTTGTAACATAAATATTCATTCTTTCTAATTGATATTGCTCCCGAATTCGATGGTTAAGTCTTCGCTTTTTGTTTTTCGCCGTAATGTTCGCGAACAAACGACGGGAAGCTTTAATTAAACTGTCGGGATCGGGTTACAAGCCACCCGTTAATTACAACATTTTCTTTAATTAATTTAATTAATTCGATACCAGGCCTGCCCGGTTCAATTCGGTTCGGTTCGGTTCGATTCTAAACTTCGATAATTAATATACAAGAGCAATGGCCCGATAATAAATTTTCAATGAAGAAACAGATAACGTTTTTATGCTTCATCACCTTTGTGCAAGCCAATGACGGGAACTAGGAATTAATTAACGCGTTAATCAATTGCTTCCACGAGATAGTTCAACATCCCTCGAGTTGTCTCTCGATTTTTTTTTTTTTTTTTTCAGAAACGATAAACTGTAAAACTTCAAATTAGCTAAAGAAAGAACTTAAACTTTTTCTTTTTTTAAATTAGTTTAGCTCTGCAAATGAGAGTACGTTGAGATTGATCGAGACTAAATTTCAATCTTCAATTATGAACTGAAACGCTAACAGTTAATTTTGGGGAAACTAAAATTAGCCCTCTGTTCTAAAACTCAAAGCTTTATCCTAGAAGTCACAAGTGAATGAAAGAGTCTAAATTTTAAAACCTAAAAACAAATAACATCCGTGTAATCTCTAATCACGAATTAATACGCAGGTATAATATTTAAAAAAACAGAAAAGAAATTTGGCAAAAAATCAAAAGCTTTCGACGCAATATGTAATTCCTCGATGCACATTCACATTTCATCCTCTGACTTTATTCACCGGGAGAGATCCTCAGTTAAATCGATCCCCGTCGAAATCTATCGCGTCTATAGGAGCGGAATTAAATTAAAGAAAAAAAAAAAGAAAAGAAAAAAATTCCCTATGAACCGGGCAAAAGTCCGCAGACGACGATTTCCACCTAGAAACTTTCCCACGGAGCGGAGACGAGCCGGGGAAAAGAGACCTGGAAATCGAACAAAACCGTCGTCTCGACAAAAGGCCACGGTCGATCACACAGTTCTCCGAAGCCAGGCCAGACTAACGAGTTTTCCCCTAGCGCGTACGCCGAGACTCCGGAGGAGGGCCACGGAGTCCCGGAAATAGGAAGCAGACGTTCACTCACCTTCTCGTTCTGATAGGCGGTCACCGCGATAAATTCCGTCTCCTTGAAAACGTAACTCCTGAACGTGGAATAGGGAAGCTTCAAGATGTCGTTGGCCCGCACCAGGTGAAACCTCGGCTGGTACTTGTGCATCGAGTTCAATATCGTCTGAAACAACCAATGGACCGTACATTGGGACAGAC